AGTTAGGGTAGGATTTGGCCAGGTGAAAAGCCAGGAGATTCCAGAAGACCAGGTAAGAACCCCCAGCTGGCAGAACTGAGGGAAGGAGCACCTGATCCAGAAAGAGAAGAATTGGGAGGGTCTTCTAAGGATCCATTTCTCTGACCCACCCAGTCTCCAGACTGTACATCACAAGCCAAAACCAAACCTCTCCACTGCCTCACCTGCTATTACCTTTCTGGCACCATGGCCAACAAATATGGGGACCCAGAGGTTTTGCTCACACTCTGTCTTGTCCGCAGTCAGTCCTGTTCTGCCACCTTCACACGCCCAAATGCTGCCCACCCCACCTCCTCCACAGAGCCTTCCCCATTGCTTCCAGGCCAGAATCTCCCTAAAAGTTCTGCCTTATTTATGACACTTTCTTCCTTCAATAAGTTATTTGTGAACTGACTATAACTCAATAAAAAAAGTTTAAAAATAATAATATAAATAAATAAGTTATTTGTGTACCTATTCCGTTTTCTCTATCTGACTAGAAGGTCCTCATGAGCAGGATTAGTATCATTTTATCTTTGTTATAACCCAGCTCTATTCCTGGCAGATACCTTGTTAGGTACCCAATGAGTATTTGCTAAATGAATGGGTTAAAAGATGAATGTAATGAACTTATTGAGTGAAGGCCTTATCCAACTGCTGGCCCCATCCTCAAGAACTTTAGACTCTGGAAAACCAGCCACATTCTGCCAGAGAGTGCTGATTCCCTTCAGTCCCTCATACCCATTTTTATAGAAACCGACTTTACTCCAAAAATGGTATTAGAGATCTAAATGTCCGAGAATCATTCTTCCTCTTCTAAGCCCACGCCTACAGATTTCCTTCTTGATTCTCTTGCCGATCATAAAGCCTACTGCCTTGTGATGAATCAAACCAACACCCACCTAGACAGAGAACATCAGTTTCCCCTCTCCATGTGTCCTCCAGCAGGGCCACCTCTAGGCTGGATGCTCAAGACTGATAAACTGGAGGGCTGCCGCCATCGCAGGAGAAATAATTAGGATGTTCATGAGAATCTCCTTGCAAGTTCAAAGCACTGACACAACCATTATCTCACCCTCCTCGCTCATTCCCTGGGAGATGACTAGGGTAGAGATTGTTATCCCCATTTTATAGGTGGTAAAACCAAGGTCTAGAGCCTTGTCAAAGGTCACCTGGTAAATTGGTGGCAGACCTGGAACTGACTAGCCTAAGACTCCCTCTTCATAAGAACACAGTTGAAAATGCTGTCATGTTGCCTGGGTTCTTTGTCTGAGAGACACAGAATGTGAACTCCAGGTGAGTGGGGGGTAAGGGCCAGGGAAGATAAAAGAAAGTTTGTGACCCTGTAAATTTTTTCTCTGTAATGCTGCAGCAGCTGGTACTGGTTAATGCCAGAAGAGTTTTTGTGTTTTTTATTTAAAGCATTACCACATGTCCTAGATTAGGGAGGGAAAAGGTGACTCTGAAGGTAACAGACACACAGGTAAACAGATGTTTGCCATCTTCTCTTGAAAACAATACAAAACCAAATGGCAAGAGAAACTCAAATTACAAACTATGTGGCTCTTCCCAGCTGTTAGGCTATAGGACCCTGCAATAAACTAATGCCAAGTGGATAGAAAATCTTCCCTTGGTGAGTAAAGCCTGGGGCCTGGTGAGGGGAGTTCTCTCCTGGAGCCAAAGGGCTTTGGGGGCAGTCTCAGGGTCCTCTTCAGGTGCCCAGGTAAGAAGTCTGCCGGTGGGATCATCCCCAAGACCACAGAGGCTCTGAAAGCCAAGATTTGTGCTAGAGTGGCCTCTGGTTTTTAACCAAATGCTAGAAGAATTAAGATAAAGAATCTCCATAGGAATTCAAAACGCCATTTCCTAAAGATGTGACCACAAGGCTGTGCTGGGGAAGGCAGTGATGGTCTATCCTATCCCACCAAGACAGTTTCTCCCCTGGCTCCATCCTAAAGCACAGGACCTGTCCTCTTCAACCCAGGCCAGCTCTGGGCTTTTCTCAGCCTTTAGCCCAGCACCCGCCCCCAGTCCCCTCTCAGAGCTTTGCTGAGGGCTCACAGCTTCCCAGTTCCACTGGAGTTTGTGGGACACAGAGATGGGCAGGGCGCATAACACTTGAGCCCAGAGAGGTGCTGGTGGCACAACAGAATGAATGCACTAACTGCCAGGGAATTGTACACCTTAAAATGGCTAATTGTATGCTATATGAATTTCACCTTAATTAAAAACAAAAACTGAGCTGCCCTGGGAGCTCTTTGGGATGAGGAGAGAAGCTGGGCCTTTCTGAGGCTCTGAGGGTAGAGCCTCCTTGCAGGGAGTGGCAGTGAGTGACAATGGGAAGGCCAGTCTGGGCCTGGCCCTCCTCCTCCAGGACCAGATGGGAACTGGGGGCCGGGGAGAAAGGCCCAACTGGGGCAGCGCCGGGGTCTGGCCAGAAGAGAGGCACTCAGTGAAAGCGAGGAGGCTGCAGCCGTCGCTCATTTGCATCATAAGTGATTGGTTTTCCCTGCTCGTCCCTCATTAGGACACAATGGACAGTTGTTTGCTGGCGCAGCAGATCCATTTACCAAGGGAGAGAGGAGACAGAGAAGAGTGATTGATGGGCCATAGTAATGGGGCGGGGGCAGCCGGCCTCCCCTCCCCTCCCCTCCCCTGCTCCCCTAGGCCCCAGGCCTCCTGTTCTCATACAACGAGAAGGAACCCAGAGAGCAAATCAACTCCCTCATTTAACAGGTGAGGAGACTAAAATGCTAAGAAGGGATGAGACTTGCAAAGGTCATACTGAGTTCATGACACAGCTCTGGCTTCTAGAATCTCCAGTCTAGATTCTAGACTCATTCCAGGGTTCATTCCACTGGCCTGCAATGCCTTCTCCATTCCCAGCTTGTGGCTCTATGTATCTGTGGTCTCTCTCCTTCTGTTCCAGGCCTTGGATTCCATCAATTCTCCCTCCTGTGTCTATCTAATCTCTTCCTCTGTTCTACCCACTCTGTATTTTTTCCTCCTGGTTTCTAGGCAGCCAGGATAATTACTAAACTTCTAATTAACCCCTGCCCTAACGAGGGTGAGTCTGGCAGAAGAGGCAGCAATTTTGAAACTGTCTTGATGTGTTTGGGGGATAGGTGGAGGTAGAACACATGTTGGGGTGGGGCTATTATAAAGCAGGCACTGAGACAGACATGACACACTTGATTTCACTTTGTCCTTTCAGCCTTGCAAGGTAGCATTCTTAGAGACAGGAGAATGAGAGGCTCAGAGAGGTTGGGTAATTTGTACAAGAGCACCCAGCTGACAAACGGCAGCTATCTGACCCCAAAATCTCCCTGACACCCTGGCACAGGGGCCTAAAGCTGGGCAAGGGGGCCCACTGATTCCAGGCTCATGGGAGGCACAGCCTTGCTGAAGGAGGCCACTGCTTAGTTGATCCCCCCTGGGCAGGGCCTGCCTCCCCATTTCCACCTTCATGCTCCCACCTTCCTCTGGGCCCCTTCTTCACGGTGATGAAATCTCACAAATGCTAGTGTTTGGCCCTGCGGGGGCTGGGGAGACAGCCATCAAGAGGGAGAAAACTGACAGACCCAGAGCCAGACCGGGGAGGTCTCCCGCCCGCCGACGCCCCCTCCCACTTCCCTGTCTGCCCCTCCCCTTTCTGGGTCGAGCCTGCCAGCATCTGCGTCTGTCTCATTGTGCTCTGGGGGAAGGGGAGAGTCGGGGTGAGTGGGTGTCTGTGTGTGAACATAAGGCCTTCGGGTTCATTCTGACACTGAATGAAAAACTCACCAATTATTCGTCCAATCTCATTAATATGTAGACAGACATCTGTTATTTAGGAGTCAACAGCAGAGGCATTTTCGTGGGGGGGAGGGGCTCTTATGTACGTGCTCTTGCCTCTCTGGCTGCTGGCAGGGTAGCTGCTGGGAATCACCCCACACGCCTGGACCTGGAGCCTTCCTTTTCTCTGACCCTCACCCCCAGCCTCGAGGAGAGGGAGTAGGGGACTGATGAGAAACGACTGGTGAGAAATGGAGAGAGACCTGGGAAACAAGCTGGAAGGGGGAAGTGAAGAGAGGGGCTGCACTGGGTAGAAGAAACTCCTTTGTTGGCAGAGAGGAAAGGAGAGATACTCTGAAGAGCTGAACCCCTTTCTTGGGGAAGCAGAGTGGAGCAGGGGAGAGCTCTGCCAGGATTTCCTGCCAGGGTCTTGGTGTCCACGGGGAACCTCAAGGACACGACTCCTTCCTCCCACCTCCCTCAGCCTGCAGGACCAGCCTGAGTGTATCTGGGGTGGGGTCACTATGGCAACATGGGACCCTCCCCACCCCCCTGACTTCAGAAAAGGTAATGGGGGAGTTCAGAAAAATGGAGACAAAAGGACGTCAGCCCTTGGAGGAGTCACTAAATCTCTCTCTGGCCCTCCGGATAGGTTCAGGGATGAGACGCCTGACCTCCCCCTGCCTGTCTTGTGACCTTCCTCTGGTCTTTGAATCCCAGCACAAGAAGCCCCAGTCAAGAAGCCTTTCCTGATTCCCTCAGGCCCAGTTCAGAGGCACTCAAGCCTGGACAACTAAGTGGTAAAGAATAAAGGTTGACAGCAGTTCAGCCCCCTTTAAAGGGTCAAACAACTTTTCTCCATCCTTTCTCCTTTCTGAATTTTCTTCAAAACACCAGGCACGTGTGGCAATCAGCTCCCACTTCCAAGCATGAAAACTGAGGTTCAGATGGGTGCAGGTTCTCACTGAAGGCTCCCAGGGAGGAAGCAGCGGGGCTGGGCCCCAAGCCCTTGGACCTCTGCCTCCAAATCTCAAGCGCTTTTCATGACTGTCCTTCTTGGAAAGGCTGGAGTCACAAGGGGATGACCCTGGGTTAGCTGACTCATTTCAGGGGGTTAGACCAAGTCCCTGCCCCTACCCCATCCCTTCCTTCCCCCTCCTCCCTCCAGGGCAGGCTGATTGCCGAGGTTAAGAAACACTGACAGCATCACAGCTTGATTAGTTGTTTATTTCATTAAATGATTAACGAGGCTACATTGTTTCCCAAATGAGTGTCTAATTTGTGGGGGAAACAGCTGCAGAGGAGGAAGCTGGGTCTGACTCCTGCATCTGGGGTGGGGGTGGGGGAAAGGTCCCCTTCTTCCAGCCTGCAGGGGCCTTTAAGAAAATCTAGGAACAACCTCATTCCCTCCTCTCACCCTTTGGGTTCCTCAGCCCAGAGCACGGCCCCCTCTCTAGAAATAAAACGTCTGGCAACCCAGGCCTGCAGAGGGGACCAAAATCTGTTCCTGGTGGTACTGGAAATGTATTAAACTTTGGGGGTTCCTCCAGCTGATTTATCTTCCTAATTATGTTTGCTTTAGGCGGATATTGAAAAGCATTTCCATTCCCTGAGCACGGCAGGAGAGGGAGGTTGGGAGAAGGGGGGGCATAAATAGTCTGTACTTTGGCGGCTACAGGCTTGAGCCAGCTTTGTACCATAGTCCAAAGTGGAGATGAGAAGCCACAGCCAAAAATCCCACGACAATTGTATGGCAGGTGTGGTCAGGGAGGGGTCAGTCCTCTGGGACCAGACTGAAATCCACCTAGCAGGGCCCCAACCCTCTCCAGCACCTCAATCCAGGACTCAGGGTCCTTGCAGAGGGTCTTGGAGTCAGGCCCTAACCAGGTCTCACTTTAAGAGGGTCAGGTGCAAAGTGCCCTTGCAGCTGTTCCAGAATCCTTGAGATTGGCCCAGATGGACCAGGACAGGGTCCTGCAGGAGAGGGAGGATAAGGAATGTCTGATGAGCCAGGAAGGGGATTTCCTTTCCTCTCAAGACTGGGCCCTGGCATGGGGAAGTGAGACGCTATTTTAGATGACATCTCAGAGCCAAAACCCCCAGCCCCCGTCACCTCATCCAGATAACCATCTATCTATCCAACAACCAAATCTGGTCACTTCATTCTCTGCTTAAAATCCCTCGTGCCCCCTCACATCCTCAGAATGAAGTCCCAGTTCCTTTGTGGGCCCTGCAATTGCCTCACTGGACCTTCTCATCCTGTCTTCTGCCCTCCCACCATGGCAGCCCCAATCATGCCATGCTCTTTCTCATCTCCACATTTTCGCACATGCTATATACCCTCTGCTCAGAGTGCCTTTCCTACCCTTCCCTGCCTGGCAAATTCCTCTTCAACCCTCAAGGACCTGGCTCGGAGGATGGATTTCTGAGGTGGTAAGGAGCTCCCACAGCCAAAGCACCATCACACCTGGGCTACCTCTCTTCCCCACTGGGCTGGCCTTCACAACACAGAGACTGGTCCTTTCAGAATCCCAAGCCAGTATCTGGCACACATTTGGTGCTTAGCGCACATTTGCTGAATGAATGAGGGAGGGGTGGGCTGTGAATTAGTGGGGGATCCCAGCAGATGGGAGGGTAAGCTCTGTGTTCTCTCCCAGAGTGTGTCTGAAGGACTGGCTGGGGCTGGGGGAGGGGAGAGCCATGGATGGTTCCTGGGGGAGAATGTCACCGAAAAGAGGCCAATGGGACCAAAGCCAGAGAGGGAATACAGGACAATGTGAAACCAGACTCCGGAGAAAACAGACCAGCACTGTCTTTCCTGACAAGTGCTCTGGCTGGCCCCTCCGCCGGCTTTCCTTCTCTAGGGGATTGGGGAGATATGACCCTCAACTCACAGCTTGAGCTCCCTCCAAAATCATCAAGGAGCTCAGGATGGAAAGAAGGAGAGAGTCCCTGCCCTAGCCTCCAAGGAGACCCCAGAATCAAACTACTGTCCTGTTGGGAAACTTCACTTTGCACAGGGTCAGCTTCTGGATGTGGAGGCTTCTGATGCCCTCCCTACCCCCACAACTCCCAGGGCACCAGCAGATTCCAAGCCAGGGCTGCAGATGGTGAGCAAGGGGCCTGGACCACTTCAGCAGGACCCCTCCCACATTAGCAGGGGACCCTAGTTGGGCTGAGTAATGAATTGCACATAAGTCCACTTTAAACCCCCTTAATGGCTTTAGGATTGTCTGGCTCATTAACTGAGATGAATATTCCCAGGATAGCTCACTCTCCCATCTCTGGCTCCTAAAATGACACTGCTGATCCAATCCATAGCTTTTTCCTCTGCTCCACCTGTGGGCATCAACAGAGAAGTTCTTCCAAAGTCTAACTTTCCCTCCTACTGCTAGAGACTGGTAGATTGACTTTCTAGAAAGCAACAAAACTAAAGCCACAGCCGTTTTCCATGGACACGGGCTTTATTTGGGGACTGTTGGAGGATGGGAGAGGAAGGGAGCTAGGACTAGGGCAGTAGGTGGGAGAGAGGCTTCTCAACTTTTTTTAATTTAATGCCTGTTGCCTGAAGGTTAGGATGAGTGAGAACAGCTGTAGTGAGAGGAGAGGGAAAGGGAAGGTCAGAGAATAGATACTTTCCTTAGGGAAGGAAGCCATGACCAGGACACGGGGACTGGAGGTGGGGAGGGAAGGCACCCTTCATACACTGAGACTCACCCAAGGTCACTGCTTGATGCCAGCTTCCCCAGGCCCCCGGCCCCATCCCAGCTCCCAGTCCAGATCCCTGCCCTGCTAGCTCCCTCAACTTGCTGTGGAAAGGAGTGGAATGAGGATGTGGGGAATGGTGGCACCCTTCTGCCTCCAGCTCCCTGCCCAGGAGAATTGCTCACTCGCCGGCCCTGAAGTCCCAGCCAGAGTCAGGAGGTCAGGAAGCCGGGGGCCAGCAGGGGGACAACTGTGCCCTCATCTCCCTTCCTCACACTCTGCCCCCACCGGGCCCCTCACATGAGGTTGCAGCTCTTGGCTCTATCCTTGTGTATCTCGCCCTCACTCCCGTTCCCGTTCCCCCGGTCTGGCCGTCCCGCCAGCTGAGCAGATCGCTGCATTCCCCGTCGTGAATCAGTACGGCGCAGCTGCCTATGGCCACGGCCAAGGGAGGCCACTGTGGCCACGTGGAAGACATCTCTGACACTGCGCTCAGAGGACCGGGAGGAGCATTCCACATAGGATACGGCCCCCACCTGCTTGGCCAGCACGGTGCCCTGGAAGAATGGAGTGTGCCGAGAAAGTTACAGGGCTTAGCCTGCATCTCAGCAAGGCGCAGGCAAGCTGAGGGCTGGGGATAGGGGGCGGTCAAGGGACCAGGTCAGAGGTCAGAGCCCAGGGCAAAGGATGAGCCAAGTGGGGGGTTCTCAAATCAGAGACTGAGATGGACAGAGGTGAGGGGTCTAGGCTGGGACTAGGTCAGAGGTCAAGGGTCCCACCTGCTCATGTGTAACAGGGATAAGCCTCTGCTTGGACAGCTCCCTCAGCGTAGCCAGGTCAGTCCGCATGTCCAGTTTACAGCCAACCAGCACAACCTTGGCATTGGGGCAAAACTCCTGAGTCTCCCCTTGCCACTATTTGAAGGAAGAAAACAAGAGTTATGGAGAAGTAGAGAGAGGTACATGAACGCTTGCTCACAGCATGCAAGAACCATGCACCCCTTGGACTCACCCATGTGAGCAAGGAGGTGAAATTGGTGGGTGTGGGCTGAAAATAGGATGGGGTGTGGGAGAAGAAGGGGGAGGAGAGGGACAGGGTGGGGCTCTGCTTCTACCTCAGTGGCCATGAAGGGTCTGCCAGCCTGGTACCATCCCATTCCCACCCTCTTTCCCAAATTTGTTCCTGGGAACAGGCCAATCCCACCCTCCCCTCCCCGCACCGGGAACTGGGGCTGGCTTAGCTGACTTTTGTACATTCACTATGGGCTTTTCTCATGGAAATGGTGGCCAGGAGGGGAGACCACAGGGCTTTACAGATCTCCAAGAGCAGCATTCCCATCCTGTCCATCTGGGGCTCCCTCACTCAAGGCGATGGAGAGGGTGAATAAGGAGTCCCTTGAGTACTTCTCCCCGTTGTCCCCCATCTACCCCAGATGCCACATCCATCCAAGCTCTGACGACTGATTTCCAGGAATCAAGGTAGGGGGATGGGGAAGGATGAGAGCTTCACACATTCTAGCCGATGGCCATGCCTCAGCTGTAATTCTCTCCTCTTGGCCCATGTGGTGTCAGGACCATAGTTTCTGGTCCCTCCCTCTGGGTCTAGCTGTCCCACTGCCCCAGGCTCCCACCTTCTTGAGGACACTGTCCAGTGTTTCTGGTCGGCTAATGTCGAAGCAGATGAGCACAGCATCTGAATCAGGATAGGCCAGAGGTCGGACATTATCATAGTAAGAGGAACCTGAGAGAAGACAGGGAGGGAGGGAACAGACAAGGGTCCTGAGTGTATGGAAGGCCTGAAAGACAATGGGAGATCTTAGCAATCTTGGTCAAGGGATTCTGAGCAGAGAATGGAAAAGAGCTGTATTTCTCCAAGGAGGTGAGCAAACAAAAGGGAGGTTAGATGGCAGAAAACAGCTCTCCACTTCCCTAGGGGGTACTCTGAAAGTAATCATTCTTCCTTGAGCCTTTGAGAGGCTCATGAAATCTCTCAACATTCTCACAAAATTTTGCATGTACTTTCTGAGCTTTGACAGACATCTAAAGCCCTCCAGGGGAGCCAAGTAAAAATTAAAAAAAAAACACCTCCTTTTTTGGAGGAGGGGGAGGGGCAGAGGCAGAGTTCTCCCGCCCTCTCGGGAACTGATCTCAGATTTCTATAGTTCAGTCTTGAGAAGCAGTTCCCTAGCCCCCAAAGAAATTCCAAATGTCTTTCCTAAACCCAGTTCTATCTCCTAAGAAACATGTTCCAAAATAAAAGCCATTCCTTCCCAACTTTCCCAGGTAGGCAGAACCCAGCTGAGGAAATCGATTACTGGGTTTTCTGCCTCAGGACAAGGTTTCCATATGTCTTTGAAAGCTCTGCCTCAGTTTCCCTGCCTTTAAGCAGAACATTGATTTTTCCTTCCTCCTAGAATTGGATGGATGGACTGGGCTGACCTGGAACCTAAGGGTCTAGCCCATGGAGGGCTCGGAGTGGGGACCTGGGAAGTCAGGGTGACCCCGAGGGAGTTGGTTACCTGAAGTGTCCCACATGTTGAGCTCAATGCGGCGCTTGTCGATCTCAAAGCTGGCGGTGTAGTTCTCAAACACGGTGGGGACATAACTCTGCAGACACGGATGGATCAAAATGGGATGCTCCAGTTCCTCACCCCAGACAAATGCCTTCCTTACTCCCATACCCCGTGCAGCCCAGCCCCAGGACACAAGTTGGTCTGGTGTTGGGCAACTGGGAGATCCCGGGAGCGGCTTCCTCAGCGGAATCTCTGCTAGGCTCCCGGACCCCCTCTCGATCCCTCCAGGCCCTAGCTCTTCCCCTCTCCAATGCACAGGACCTAGAGCCCTCTCCGGGACCTCTGGTTCTCCCAAACCCCATTCACCTCATCCTGCTCCCCTATTCTTCTCACCCCAGTCCTCTGCAGTCCTTCCAGAAACCCCATCGCCTCTCTCAGTCCTCCAAGCCCCTCTCGTCCCTGATCATCCCAGCACCCATTTCCGTCCCTCCCCTAAGCTCCAGTCACAGTCCCCTGCGGCCTCAGAGCCCCACTCTCAAGACACCGGTCCCTCACCCCGGGGTAGGCGTCCTTGGCGAACACCTGCAGCAACGCTGTCTTGCCGCACTCCGCGTCCCCCACCACCACGATCTTGCAGCGGCCGCTCTGCCCCTC